ATGCACCAATACAAAATAGTTACAAGATCAGTCTAATTGATCAACTTTATAGCAAGAATCTGTAACAATCAAGACATGTTTTAACTCAACTTGGTTTTCCTTGTACATAAGTTCTGGGTTCTTAGTTACACTACATTGATGCCAAACCTAACATGACCATGATATTATGATAAACAAACTGTATACCGACAGCTAGGATTATATAACATCCAACTACAGTATTATTAAAGTCAAGTATGCATTTTATAGTGTAACATTAAATTTTAATATTGAAAGTCATGTTCGGATGATCTATGTATAGCTGTATCATCCCTATATTATTGCTTGCATTCTTTTTGGCACTGCCATCCCTACATCATTTCATGTTTACAAAATGTTTTTTATTACTTGTTTTGTGATGTTTTTTTTTTACCCTGACTGTTAGTGTATTCTATGAATGTCTGTAATAAAATATATTATTATTTGTACTGATTTTTTTACTTCTCCACTTCATAAATAATATATAGGGGGTTAACTTCCTAAAGAAACCGATTGTATACTGTACAAAGCATTGAGTATTCTACATGTTACAGTCATCTAATGTTCATCTATTATTGGCTGGTCATTCCTGCTTCACCCTGTACTTGAGCTTTATAAAGGAACATTAGATTTCTGTAAGAAAGCTAGCTTCAAGGGGTAATGATAACATCGCTTACACTAGAATTGTGATTGTTTTTTGTTGTACTTTTAATTCCTACTAGTTATTGCGACTAAACGATGACATAGTGCACTACCTAGATATATATAGAGAGTGGATTTAAGTTAATGATAAGTAGTTGTGGAGTTATCTCGACTGAAACAGAAGTTGAAGAAGGAAGATGAACAATTTGGTAAGTTGGACACATTCTGGTTTGGTTTCTTGCCATGTTTTTGTACTTGTTGGATTAAAGAAACAAACTAAAGTGAGTGGCAGTCGTGATTTAAAGTAAAACTCTCAATCATTATTGATGTTTTAACGTGCATATTAGTATTATGCCTAGTGAGTACCTTGACAGCGACCATCCCTACATATTGAGTCTACCGACTCTATATTATAGTTTATAACTTTAGTTCTATTAGAACTTCTAACGATGGTCAACAATACGCGTTGACTTTGTGTCTGGTTTAAATAAATCAAAGACTTACTATAGTTATTCGTCTTTACAAAGTTACGAAATAGATACCCAAGTACGTAATAATAATCTTAAAAATATATACAAGTTTCAACAGTATTAAATCAATAAATGTTCTATTGGAAATCAATTGACACTAACGCTACAGCGAGTACTTAGACTTAGAAGTTAGAGGACTAGGTATTATTCCATAGAATAAAAAACTCGATATTTAAAGCCTTTCTAATGCATTTACTATTACGTTTAAAAAGATATTTACTTACAAGTTACAACTTACAGTACGTAAGCAACAAAACGATCTCTATTATCTATGTTAGAAATGCCCTATCATGAATTGAAACCTTATACTAGTTACAGTAATTCTTACTAATGCGAAATATTATGGAAACTCGACGTACCACTATCTCTGCTTTAATGGTATGTACCATAAATACACTCTAGCTGTTCTTTATATTAACGTAACCAACTCTTACCAATACTATATATTGTAGAAACAGGTTGTACTGCTACGCCCTCCTTAAGGGCTAGTTTGTTAAATCTTTTTTCATATGTACACAGTGGCGAACCTGTGATACATCACTCAAAAACGAAATTGTTCATTTAAAGGAACATCCCGGCCTTCGTGTGTAAAGCACATTCTAAGACCTTTTACTAATAGTAATATACAATATTATGAAATTTTAACGTACTTTTGTGCCAGCTTGATAGACTTGTTCCTTAAATATACTTTGATGTGAATAGTATTTTTTTCAGATGCCCGAACTATGCAGTTTTGAATGCAAATCACCAACTCGAGTATCTTACTATAAAGATATGATACGTTATGTGTCTATCTGTCTGTGTATGTTGACATCCATCACCCAAAGTTGGCTGGCTTGATTACCATAATTTTTTGTACAGTAACTGGAAACTGTCTGACAGTGTAAGTGGCCTATTTTGTTTTAGAATTTTTACCCAAGAAAGAGGATAATAAAAATATCCTTAAATAGGGCACATTTCCACTTTTTTGTACACTTTAGCTTTCATCATCCAAGATTGGCTGGTCCGATTACCGGACTTTATTTAGTAGATGGAAACTGTCCGACAATGTACGTGAACCATTTTTTCCGATTTTTATCCGAGAAGGGGAATAAAAAACACACTAATAGCGCATATTTCCACTTCTTTATATGTTATAAATCAAGACACACAGTAGTGTGTTGTGCGCCCAAAACAAACTGCAGGGTGTGTTATTAATAGGAGTGATAGTTTAGCAATTTTCCACTTTCTGTAGCTCTGACTGTGATAATCCAAACTATCACATATTTTCAGTGGATGTGCTCTACTGGACCCTTACTTTCCATACCAAATTTCAAGGTAATCCATTAAGAAATACACGAGGTATAAACTCTCCAATTTTGATTGAGTTTCTTCCTATTTTTTTTCTTCGCACCGAAAGTACGGACATTTCATTTGATAGACAAACATATTTAACTTTCATGGATTTTATTTCAAACTTGGCAAACTGATAGATCTTCACAACCTACAATTTAGTCTAAATGTAAGCCATATGTGCAAAGTTATTCCAGAAAAACCGCTCAATTTTGACCTAAACTTTGGCGCACGCCTACGCAAAAAGTTACGTGAGCTACCGGTCTGAAATTTGCATTACAGCTTCATCTAAGAGTAAAGGTGGACTGTTTTTAGTTTTTTGTCATTCGTGGTAAAGAGTAGTAAAACTATAGAGTGAAAGCATGTGCAGACACATAAGTATTGGTTAGGCCAAGCAAATTAGATTAGCAGATTCAGACTCAAATTTTCAAAAGAATCATGCAGAAGGACGGTTATTATTCATTATTCGTTGACAATTTTTAAACACAAATTGGCTAAATGTTTTGAAATTCTTCTAATTAAAGAGAGTTTAGTGTCAAGTGATATTAGTTTTAGCAATTAGCGTAAATAATGACGCTTGATACGGCTGTGCCGACTGCATGCTGGTGATGACAAGAAACTGTTAATCTAGTTTCCATGGCGTTACTATAAAGAAAGTTATTAACACTGTTTTA